TCCCTATCCCCTCCCTCCCTCCCTGTCCTCCCTCCCTATCCTCTCTCCCTCCCTCCCTGTCTTCTCTCCCTATCCTCTCTCCCTCCCTCCCTCCTCCCTCCTTTCACGCCATAACTCTTGAACCAGTACTTTTACGAAATTCGCCAAAAGTAAAATAAAGCCAGTGTAGCGCTGAACATTTTAGTATCGGTCTTTTGTTGTCTCGTTCTGTGTGGTGGCAGAAAACGTGGTAGCAGACAGACAGACGGACAGACACACAAACTAACGAACCAAGTACAGTAACCCTCGCTGCGCATGCGCGCGCTGATTGTTAACTACCACTACCGCGTTCATGTTCAATCTTCCTCTCTCCTGTCCTCCCCTTCTCCCCATCTCTCTCTCTCTCTCTCCACTCAGTCGGTCTCCCACACACCCCCTGCTTCAACTCCTGCCCTCCCTTCCACCTCACAACAAGGTATACTACTACATACTGTATATACTGCACACACTGCCACCTGCCTGTTCTCCGTGTGACCATTCCTTGGCTTCTGTGTCCCCACATTGTAACTACTTCCTCACTTATAAAACTTCCATTGCTAGAATTATCTGTGCATGTATATAGATGTGTACAGTTAGCGTATTCCCCCAGTGTTACCACAAATGGAAAGTTGTTCTTGTATATAGCAGGAGGTATATAGTGAGCTGGAGGTAGTGCTGCAAGGTCTGGCTTGTGTGGACCAGCTGAGCTGTAGTTGGATTGTGGCTATGTACACAGTGGCTTGCTGTTTAGTTCTCAACCTCATCTCCCTCTCTGTTTTTGGCTCTTCTCTTCCTTTCTTCGTCCTCATCTTACTCTCACCTCGTCCCTCACTCACACAGCTCTGAAACAACAGTCTTCCCATCCTCTTGCAGCCTCACCAAACCACCCTCCCCCTCCCTCCTCCACCCCCTCCTCCTCTTCCTCTTCCTCCGTGAATCCTCGACCGTTGACGTCTCACTTCCGCTCCCCTTCCTCTGTGCCCCATGTTGGGGGCGGGGCAGGGGGCGTGGCTGGCGGAGGAGGAGGTGATCGTGTCGGACAGGTGACAATACAGCCCAATCCAGCGGCAGCGGCGATGGTTCAGACTCAATCAGCTGGTAGTCCAGTTACACCACAACAACAACAGCAACAACAACAACAACAACAACAACAACAGCAGCAGCAACAACAACAGCAACAACAACAGCAACAAGTCTACCATACTCAGCAGCAGCTCGAGGCAGCGGGACAGCCTCAGGTGTGTATGGCTATGATGCTTGAGGTATATACATACATTGTGTATACCCCTGCATAATTATGTCAATCACTTTTTCTCAATCTCTGTGCATCTTTGATTGCAGCTAGAAAAATTTTAGTTGTTTTACCGCTTGATTGTAGTACTGGACCTTGTAAATGATGTTGGTGTGAACTTTAAAAGAGCAGTATGTGTATATTATTGTATATAATATTATATATATAATATATATACCCAGTTGTGTGTCAAAGTGTACACTTAATAACTGCAGTTCGTAGGTACAAAGTCTAATCATGACCTTACTGGTGTACCTGTATTATGTGTAATATGCATGATGTAATGCTGTCTCATATACTGTTGTACAGAGAGCCCTTCCACCTCAGTATCCAACGTTCTATCCCGTACATCCCATGCAGGTACACGTATATATATGTAGTATAATAATGTATATGTATATATGTAGTATTAGCAAGCAAAGTGAGCCTACCTAAAGGTTGCTTCGCTAGTTTTGAGCTGTGTTGCATTCACTGCTGCTAGTTTGACTCTCACAAACTGGATTCATCTATAAAATGTCGTATTATACGCTTCTCCCCATCATGTGCATACATCTATATTTTTCCTTGGAAAGAAAGAGCTGTCCTGGGTGTAGTTGATTTGTTTGTTGTGCCTTTGCCTTTCTATGTATATACCTCATAGTTTTCACATACATCCATATAGCCAGTACTATTCTCTGTGTATTATATCATATGCATACATGTATGCATACACCTATAGGCAGTAGTATGTCATGTTTATACATTACAACTACATATTGTCTGTCCCTATCATTCATGTGCACACGTCCTGCAGACTGGAGGTAATGCGATGAGTCCAGGAGGTCACAGAATACAGTACGTGGCCAGTCCCCCGCCTGCTGTATCACCCATGGCTCAGCAGCAGGTATATACATATATATATGTTGCAGTGCATGAGCCCTGTAAGGGCGAATGCTGTCCTGTCTGGGTATAACTGCAACAGATTTGTTGGGCAAACGACATGTATGAACCCTTCTTGCACATGTAGGCTGATACAATCCCCTAGTACCTACGTAGCTTCATACATGTCGGTTGCCTAGGGATATGCAACAAATTCATATATAATAATTATGCTGTACCATTCACAATCAGTGACACACAAACAAACCAAGCAACTGTAAGCCTAGAGAAAGCATTCACGGGGGGGAATTGTATCTGTATCCATATCACACTATATTGAGGGGGCTCTAGTGAGCCCCGGGGCCCCTGGTGACACACTTGGGACATGGTCTGTGTACATTCTACAACACATAACACTATAATTCAGCAAAAGGTTTCACCAAACAAGCACACGAGCAAGCAAGTCACGTTCTTTGTCTCTCTTAAGGTTCACATAGATGAGCCACTTTATATAGACTTTTTTTGTTATCAATTAGCTACCCCATCATTTTTGTTTTACTACAGGGTACTTACGTATAGCAAACCCCACCCTTATACACATAGCTTTGTGTAGGATTAGCCCTTCGTTTTTTTACTACAGGGTACTTATAGCAAACCCCACCCTTATACACATAGCTTTGTGTAGGATTAGCCCTTCGTTTTTTGACTACAGGGTATATACTTATAGCAAATCCCACCCTTATACACATAGCTTTGTGTAGGATTAGCCCTTCGTTTTTTGACTACAGGGTACTTATAGCAAACCCCACCCTTATACACATAGCTTTGTGTAGGATTAGCCCTTCGTTTTTTGACTACAGGGTATATACTTATAGCAAATCCCACCCTTATACACATAGCTTTGTGTAGGATTAGCCCTTCGTTTTTTGACTACAGGTACTTACGTATAGCAAAACCCCATCCTTTACACATAGCTTTGTGTAGGATTATAGCCCTTCGTTTTTGACTACAGGGTATATACTTATAGCAAACCCCACCCTTATACACATAGCTTTGTGTAGGATTAGCCCTTCGTTTTTTGACTACAGGGTATATACTTATAGCAAATCCCACCCTTACACACATGTAGCTTTGCGTAGGATTAGCCCTTCGTTTTTTGACTACAGGGTATATACTTATAGCAAACCCCACCCTTCAACATAGCTTTGTGTAGGGATTAGCCCTTCGTTTTTTGACTACAGGGTATATACTTATAGCAAATCCCACCCTTACACACATGTAGCTTTGCGTAGGGTCTTTCCCTCCTACGTATGTGTCTGTTCTTCCCTTCCCTCTCCTGTTTCTCCCTCAATCATTTCTTCTTCCCATCCCCCGTATCCCAGGTCTATGTCCGCACCCACTCGTACCCTCAACAGCACACCCCGGGACCAGGTCCTGGAGGAGGAGGGGGACATATGGTCATGTCCCCTCAATTAGCACCCTCTCCAGCACACCAGCAGCAGCCCATTAACTCTGTACCTTCCCACTACCCAGTCCAGTATGGAGGTAGGTCATAGTGTACCTCAACTACGAGCTAACTGCGAGTACATGCTAGTTGGTACATGCAGTTGTGGATCGAACGCACACACACACAGTTACACAAATTAGCGAAGACGACCTGCTAATAATTTTTAATTGGTCCATATATTTTCACAATTATGGGGAAGCCTATGGACCCTGTATGCGTCGCTGAATATGTCGGTACAAGCAAGTCCATGGAGTATGCTCATTAGCTACTATATTAGCTAGGGACCACCAAGTATATGACCTTGATTATATAATCATATGCCACAGTTGATACTGTGCATTGCAGTAGTGTAGAGTTAGTACTACAGACTATCGTAATATGTATGTATGTATTGTACACATACATTGACCTTGGTGTGTATCCTATCACTACAATGTATCATCCAAAAGGTCAGCGACCTCAGAACCTGCCGCTAGAAGGTTACGCGACCCCAGCAGAATGGTGGGTGCTTAGTCACGGCAGACGCCGTATTAGGCCTCCCCCGTGTCTACTCCGGGGGCAGTGGTGTACCCCGCTCGACGTCCCCCACCCCGCTACTATCACCCCCAGTCTTCCCCCGTCCCATCCCCTCACACTCAGTTACAACTCAGGTACACCCCTCTTCCTCTTCCTTACTGAAATGGCATGTGTAGCTGGGAATCTATGCATCTAGTGCCCTTTACAGTACAGCTTTCTTCAAATAGGGTAAGAATGCCATGAATTTGGCTATAGCTGTAGCTCTAACCATGCCCACCTGTACTCCCTCCTCATTGCTGTACTGCTATATAGTAGTGGAGCTCTTACAGGTACTAATGACAGTGTACTCTATTTAGCCTTTTGTTCCCCCACAGAAGCCACTTTATAACTCCTAATGAGGAAACCTGTAACTGTATGTATGACCTATACAACGACATCTACCCTGCCCTTCCAATGCCTCCAATGTACTGTACTTTCTACCAACAATCACTAACAAACTTGCAGGGAAGAATTTCACCAGGACGACACAGAATACACACAGGGGCAAATGCTATATAGATTTGGGCATGTATATAGTAGTCTTAGTAGTAGATAGTCTTGCATTTCTGTAGTCTTTTGACAAATCAAATTTCACTGTTCACTTTTTGAACCGTCCTTCATAGATTTATAAGCCACATTTTGTTAGCCGGGATATTTTTATTGTAGGATAGGCATGCACGAAATATTTCTTAATGAAGTTATCTTTTGCTGCCGAATAGCAAGTTTTATCTCCCTCGAAAATTTCCCGCTATTATGGTAGTCCATTTTCACACTAATCCTGTTCAGTAAGTATCCACTAGGACTACTGTACTATTCGCTCTGTCTAGCTTTTACTGCCACCTGTACAGATAGACTGTAGTCCAGGAAGCCTTGAGGCATGGGAACTGTACTTATGCGTGGAATTGCAACAATAGACAGGCCTGTTTAATATGCTGGTCAAGAAACTACAAGAAATGCAACGCCATCTGTATTCCCAAATCTGTGTAGCGTTCCTCCTGGGTGTATATTTAGAGTGTGTATTTCACATTAACACACAAAAACAGAATTGGCCATTTCATTCCTTGTTATCTGTGTACGTGCACTATCATTTGTTTGGCGTTGTGTGACAAACTTACGTTGTTTATCCAACATTTTCTTTGTCTCTCACAGTTTCCCGGTCGGATGTACGTCCGACCACCAGTGGGGTACCCCGCCCAGAGCCCCGCCCAGCCTTCGGGGGGTCCGCCTACCCCGACCTTCTCACCCCACCAACACCCCAGCGTGGGTCCCCCACCCTACGGAGCCGGGGGGCCGAGTACTCCGACGGACTCGGGGTATTTTGGGAGTGTCCCCAACATGCACCACATGTCGGGACCCGTACCTTCTCCTCTCAGTAGAGGGGTACGTTGCCACTGCAGTGCTGTATTGTAGTTACCATTGCTTCAAAATCTCTGTCTGTGTTATAGTTAGCATTGCTTCTTTGCTATTGTGTTTAAACGTATGTACAATCTAGTACGAAACACAGTTGTATATAGTTTGTCAATGAGGCGAAAAACTCCTGTGCTTGTAATGTTCTAGCACAGCTCTAGCAGAACCATCCATATTTTCTATGCTGCATGTTGATACTGGGATATTATATTCTGGGACAGGTATATATAATACTCCACGAAAGATTTCTCAACGTTTTGCTGCCACGCTCGCTGTCAGTTCCTAGCACTCGTTTTAGCAACTAGAGAATGTTGCATGCTACTGCTATTTTTTTACTCTGTTATGGGATGTACATGTATTCTGCTTTGTTTCAGACATTATAATCTAGAGTAAAAGGCAGGGGCAAACTCTAGTTCAGCTCCATAACGATTTTTAGCACTCGTTTTACTAACTGTGTCTGCAGTACATGTACAATTCCACTAATGTGCCATGCTATATAACTGTTCTGGATTGTGTTTACCTCCAGTATGTCTCGGTGGAGAATCATGGATTAACTCCGTTCCCCGTCCAATCTCCCCCTCCCCGGGGTACCACCCCGTCCATGCTCCGCCCCCTCACCCCAATGCCGCCAATTACCCAACTGTCAGTACCCCGATGTCCATCAAGGCTCAGGCCCAGACTCCACCCACTGGCCCCCACCAACCTCCCCCTCCTGATACACGTGAGTGTAGTCCTTATATAGTAGTACACAGACATAGTGTGTAGAACAAGTTACCATTATTAACCCTCGGCGCGCATGCACAGCGAGGGTTACGGTAGTTGGGTTTGTGTGTCTGTGTGTCTGTCTGTTACTCGTCATCTCACTTTTCGAGTGTTCGTTCGTCTCACAAAGGATACCACTTACTGAACGGGCAATGAAGGTCAGAAATTTCGAACGGTTTTCTCTGAAAACGCTCCGTTGCAAGGCTAGAGCGCTTCCACCATTGTACGGCTAATACGTAGTCGGCCATTTTTATCGCTGCGGAAAATGCGCATGCGCTTATAGTTTGAACAGGCTTTAACCTCGACCGGGCCGCTTGCTCTGTGTATCTTGGAGGCATAAGAAGTCACAACGAAGGGTGTGTATCGACTCCCGCATGCTATCTACTACTGTAGCTAGTCCGTGTCAGACTCTCCGCGAGCTACTAGCGTGGATACCACGAGTAAACGCATACTAAAAGCCCAGCCCATCAATTAGTGGTACCGCACGTGCGCAGTTCGCCAAGGGTTTGCACTTCAGTGCTTTTCATTATGTACATTTTTCCTCACATATATAAAAGTATGTATAGGCTGTATTGTATGTGGCCAGAAGCATTCCCTATATGTGTGTGTGTGTGCAGTGCTGAGACTGACGTTCCCTGTGAGAGAAGGTGTACTGTTGAAGCCATTCCAATTAGAGCACGGGGATCACATCACTCAGCAGCCTTTTCACCTCAAGGAGTCCGTCTATGGAATGCTCCTCCACAGGTATGTCTATATATCTGTCAGTGTGTGTGGTGTGTCTTCTGCAATGTATGTCAATAACTGCTATGGTGGGTGGGGCAGTGGAAGTGCTACATACGCACACATGGTACAGTCATTGCAACATATGTAAAAACTCGGTACATAAGAAGAGGTGCATGAGCAGCTCTCTGCTCTAGTGTCTATTGAAGATGTTTGTGAATTACTGCGCTGTTTACGCTCTCGTATTTCCTCTCTTTCCTGCTCACCTTTTCCTTATCCCCCCTCCCCCTCTTCCTCCTCTCCCTCCTGCTTTCCCCTCTCCCTCCCTCCCACAGAAACGACCTAGAGCTTCAATTCAAATGCTATCACGGAAACGACAAGTTGATGCTTTGCCAGTGGCCCCAAGGGGTGGCTGTCAATATTGACGGCCGACCTTTGCCTATTGACAGAGTGAGAAATTCTACCTGTCCTTGGCTGTCCTCTGAGACTGTGGTTCACGCAAACTATACACCAACACCAATTGGATTTGTCAGCGCACACAAACGCACGAAATGAGCTACTACCTAACACTGCGAACGCTTTATTGTATATGCATGTGGAAAAACACTGTGTGCATGTTATCGACGGTTGTTGTTCTGTTTGTGCACTGCGTGAGTATATAGACATAACTGTAATGGGGACTTGGGAGGCCAAAATGGATCTTTGACTTGGATAATTGGTTGTAAATGTTTGGTAGTAGCACTCTGTGTAGACAACTGAAAGCTTGGGTGAATAAAATTTTTTTTTCCGCTGCAGTGGTTGACCACCGACCACCTATTGCATACTTAGAAGTGTAGCATATGTATTAGTCCCAATTGAAGTGTTGCGGAGTTGGAATGCTAATAATTATTTCCGGAAATCAATGTGTGTATTGATCAGAATGCCAACAATTTAAACACTGCACTGATACTTGGTGGTCTGCAACACGACCTTATACAATTTCCTCCCCCCTCCCCCCTCCCTCCCAACCAACCAAACTCAAACTCAAACACACACACACACAGGGAGATGCCAAGACCACTCACAAACCTCTCTATCTGAAGCACTACTGCCAACCTGAGACCAACACTCTGGAGATAGCTGTCAGTAGATGCTGCTGTGTAAGTTACTAAAACATACTCTACAACGTATATAAAACAGCAACGATGATTATGAAGCGTGGTGGAATCACACATGAATGGTTCTGACAAATTGAGTCCGGGAGCCACTGGATGTAATGCACAAGCTTTGGCGATGGCCCTTGTAATCTCTCATGTGCCAATTTGTACTGCAGTTTTCCCAAGAACTGACCCCTTCGATCACACTACCAGCAGCGCTTGCAACATGTTTATTAATCGTAGACACGTCTATGTGACTTAATTATGTATAATAAAAATCTCTTCTATATATCTCTCTTCCTGTCCTTCTTGATATTTTTGAAAACCAACCAGAAGCGTGTGGTCTCTTTCTTTTTGTTAATGCCTCATCCCACCACACATAAATACCGTCATACCTCTCCCCCCCTTCTTATTCTCTCCCCCACTCCACTATATAGTCCCATCTGTTTGTTCTACAACTGGTGCATCGTCCGTCCGTCAACTCGGTCCTCACTGGTCTACTGAGGAAGAGACTGCTACCCACGGAGCACTGCATCGCCAAGAGTCAGTTGCTTTACCCTCCCGTGTGTGTGTGTGTGTGTGTGTGTGTGTGTGTGTGTGTGTGCATTATTTCATGTGCACATAGTTCACGCTATTGTAACTATGTGTGAGTGTGTGTACACTAAGGTTTTCTTGTCCCTTTCCCCAATCCCTTGTAGTCTCATGTACAGTGTGCTGTACATCATAGCTATCCGTGCAAGTGCTTACACCTTTATATTTCACATACAATAATAATATACACTTTATAAATTAAAGAACTGCTGACATTTAAAAAAGGAAGACTACACAAGCACCAGCTGAGTCTTTGCTGGAGCCTGAAAGTGTTTCACCACGGGTGTTGTTGTTGGCGTTGCATTTTCCTGCCTTTTTCATGCTCCAACCCTCCCTCCACCCCCCACCCCAGTAAAGCGATGGTTTGCCAGTAACTCAGACGACAGTGTTCAGCAGACTGGAGTTAGGGTCAGTCTCAAGTGTCCTGTCACATTCAAGAGGATCCAGCTGCCTGCCAGAGGAGCCGAATGCAAACATATACAGGTGAGCCCCTCCACTCTATTTAATGACGGGATCACTGTGCTCTCGAGCTATACAACTAACACAGTGCATGTACACATGGGGAGGCTGTTCTTAAAGTATTGTTCCTGCAGTGCTCCATACTGTGGATGCAGTCCCTCTATCTTGTGCTGTTACTGAGATTGTCGTGTCCTTTAAGAACACGACAATATTAGTAATAGCACCATTAAAACTGTCCTTTTATTCAGAGGTTAGGCACGATACTTAAGATCAGCCCTGTCCATGCAGTATTTGTTGCATGGTTTGAGAGCATGCGGCGCATGAAATGGTTTGGACAGAAGCCAAGTGCCTTCGATGCACTCGTAATCAGTTTTTCGAGGGGGAGCAAATTCCGAGTAAGTCTCCAATGATAAACACTGTACTGTACATCACGTACTTATCAAGTTTGTACGATACTGGAATGCTTTTGACACGGAATTCATATACCTCCTCAAAACCATACTTTTCTGGGAACTGAGGCACTTCATAAGCACACGAGAAACTCTCAATACTTGCATTTCTCTGATCTCTACACGTATGATACAACTTCCATTGTTTAGAATTCCGTTGAAACCAGTCACTTCCCTATTCCATACGACCATATCAATCCCTTTTCTCACGATTAATCATTTTCTACCCTACTCTAGTACCTTCTGGACTAATGTGGGGATTGTGTCATAGGCTTGGGGGGGTGTCAGTGTGCTCAAATTCTTTTCGTAAACCTGTATATCCCTTCGCTCCCTATGTTGTCTCCATTCCTTTTTTTTTAAGATCCGCACAATTTTTAAATATGTGACATTACCTCGCAGTGTTTTGATCTGGAGGCCTATCTAAAGATGAACTGTGAGCGATGTACCTGGAGGTGTCCCGTATGCAACAGTAATGCCCAGTTGGAGGGGCTGGAGGTCGACCACTACATCTGGGGCATCATCTCTGGAGTCAACCAGTGAGTCACGACCCCAGCCGGGGTCCACTTTTTTTTCGTTCCGTGCACAGCAAGATAATGAGCGTTAAACTTACAAATGCAGCATTCGGCTAGCATGTGTGGCACACGACACAAGTATACAAATTGAATATCCACGAAACCTTCCAAAATTCACAAATGGTGATCATCCTCTTGTTTTTTGTCCGGAATATAATGACCCAAAAAGTGATGTGTTTAGTGCTGTGTAGCCTTCTGTTGTGTTTATATAGTATGTGGCATCTATAGTTGGCGAGGAGGATATAGTCAGAGGTTTTGATTCACCCCCTGGACGGTTTTAGTCTCTGATTATTGACCTGCAACTTGTGACTCACCACTCATTATGTCTATTATCACACATTATGTCTATTATCACTCATTATGTCACATTATGTCTCATCTGTAGAAGAGGTCTGGATGTGGATGAAGTGTTAGTGGATGCCGCAGCTGACTGGAAACCGGTGGAGAAATCTCCCGATCTCAAGGATGAAGATGGTATACATACAGACCACTACACCACTTGCGTTGTTCTCATTATTTACCATCGGTTCAGCGATGGTTAAAGTACTTGGTTTTTGTAAGTGTGTGACACTGTCTGTCTGTTACCACGTTTTATGGCACCACCGGGTTACCTTGGCAACGTACATAAGTTGACTGTGAATGAGCACACCATACACTGGGGGTTCTAGTGTATGTGTGAATATCTGCACCAGAAACACGCACAACAATTGTGTATCCCTACAAATCCACCATGTACATAACCATCACTCATTGGCTTCCTTTCACTATATTATGTAGAACCACTGAGTTACCTACTTATCTTCACTCTAATGTCCTTCCCTCTCTCCAGTTGACTCGCCACCTCTGAAGAAACCCAAAGTTGAGCCATCAGCATCTCCAGCCACAAACCCTCACTCTGACATGCAGCTGCAACAACAGTCCGCCTCCAACTCCTCATCCTCGTCCTCCACCCCGTGTCACTCCTCCCACCTCCTCCCCAATAACAATGCCGGCGAACCAACAACTGTCACCAATAACGTGGGTGGTAGTGGGGGTGTGTCTCTCCCTCCCCCTCCCTCTCTTACCCCTACCTCCAGTCTACCCCACCACAAGCCCCAGGTCCCTCCTCACCTCCCCACACCTCACCACGGCAGCATTAGTAACCACTTACCACAGCAGGTCCCCCCAAATGACATCACTACCAGTGCAGCACCGGCAGCAACAAGTAGCACCAGTCTCTCCAATAAGAACATTATCAGTAGTAGAGGAAGTACAGTAGTCAATCATCATCAGCCAGCGGTGGCCCATTACAGAACGGGACACGTCCCGAATTCGAACAGTTTCGTGAGTGGTGCTATGGGACAGCAGCCCGTTCAGACAGACGGACACCAACAGCCTCAGCATAACAATATGATGTGAGTAATTAGTGGTGCATTATGTTGGTTTTACTACAGAGCAGTGTTGCATTACAGTTACACTGCACGTTAGGACACTTTTGACGCATTTTAAATTTCCTGAGAGAGGCAACTTTCCAGATGGGCACAAACATTAATTCCACGAAAGGCTTCTCCTCTTACTGTATAATGATTTGTGTATGATGTACATTATGTTCTCTTTGTGACTCTTTCCTGTGCACTGTTCCCTGCAGAATCTTTTCGATGGTCTAGAAGATGCCGACGACCTAAACCTACTGACATATCTCAACGACGAACTCCCGTCCCAACTCCTCTCGTCCATGCTGGATCCCTAGTGCATTCTGCCGCCCATAGCCTCCTATTATTGTCTGTTTTTATCGTTTTTACCTGGTGCTGTCGTCACAGTCGTTCCTCAGAAGTCCCACTATTGTTCTCATACTTCTCTACTGACTGGTGTGGGTGTACTGTACTGTACAGAGGGCACGTGAAGTTTGCTGCTCACGGCGTTTCTTTCCCGGTCTTTTCTTTTCTATGGTCTGTCGTGTACATGTGTGGCTTAATATGTGGTCACGAGTAGCTCTCTCCTGTTGTCCTAGACATTCAATACTTCATGTGATATGGACTGCATCTCTCTCAATGTATTGTTATCATCGTCGTCCCACACTGACATATAGCAATGTACTCATGCTTGGTTTTCTTTCCCCCGTCTGTATACTGTGTGCGTATCTCTGTGCTTATACATGTGCTGTAAATGCAGTTGCTTTCTACATTACCTCGGCGACTTTATTGCTGTGGAATTGGGGTGCGATATAATATAGATGGAGGAACAAAAAGGTTTTAGTGGGAGATTACCAGAGTTGTCTTCCCCAGGAATGTCTTGGGGGAGTCAGGGACTGCTAATGTTATTCCTATTCCCCCAGTTATCAGTCTCAGCATGTGACCATTCTGCGTGCAGTTGCTATTACTTTTCGTAAGCAATCCATATGCAATAGTGTGTCCTATGGTGTGAGGAGACATCGGCAAAATTGTTCATTATTTTGAAAAGTGCATGGCGATGGAGGTGCAGTGGCTTTGCTACAAGCATGGGTTTACAGTTGTGCACGTCTGGTGCCTCCACACGACTTCTGCCAGATGCTGACTAAAAGCAATCGCCATTGTATATACAAAGGCATGGTATACAAAACCACAAGTGCAGCGCTTCTATATTATATATATATAGCCTTTATGAAGTCACCATTCCTGGCATGTATATATAAGTCCCTTCCTTCGGAGCCAGAATGAAGTTGAAAGTAGGTCATTGTGCAGCTCTTTTCTACCGGCATAATAGCAGTTGCTCATTTGTGCTCTTGACCATAATATGCAACTACTTGTCTATATAGAGTGCTCTTATTAGAGGACAGAAAATGGGAGCTACACAGTCATGCAGTTGTGCTCCAACACTATTACCAGGTGCACACCCACAAAGAAGTCTTTTGAACAAAACTTGCAGTCCTAAAGACGTGCAAAACCACTCTTCCACCATAATTATGATGTATACTTGATACAAGGCTCCAACCTACAGACTATGAATGCACATGAGACGTGTTGGCAATTACATGAAAAAACATAAACATGTACAACTTTAGAGCACACACAGGTGTATATATCATGATATCACGCAATCTTTGCCTTTTACAATTCTTATCAACATCTCTCTTCATTCCTGCTGTCATCTTCTTCTATTCAACAAAAATCACACCGCATACTTTTCTTGTTCATTTTCGTTATCACTTGTGTATATACAGATAACTATGAAGACTGAGTTGCCAGTTGTTTTGTGCTGCCCATTTATAAGTGAATTCTTATTTTAGCCGTTGTGTTAGCTGTTACTGTGTACCGTTGGTCTTATTGTAGCCATTTTGTTCAACTTAGCTGTTAGTGTAATGGTTGGTCTAATTGTAGCCCGTTGTGTTAGCTGTAACTGTAACTGTCAGTGTGCTAGTTGTTACTGTTATGTATTATGTAAGCTAATCACATGTACTCTGCAACTTCAGTCAGTAATACACAAAAGGTGTTCTTTCAGAGTCTTAACATACTGATGGAGTTGAGATATCTTCAGACACTCCTTGAGACGAGGGTCTAGACCAGAGAATGACTGTAGAACTTGAGTGTCTGGAGCAGTGAATGAGGGAAGAGAGAATAACTTCTTCCCCTTCTCCTTTCTCTTGAAAAATAAGCTATTGAAATTAACTTCCTGGCTCTGTTCACGATAACTATACTGTTTGTCCCAGAAGAGGTGAGTCTGTGGCTGAGTTAGGTCTGAAGATGAGAATGATCTCTTGAGATTAGGAGACACGCCATTGCGGACAGCCCCCACATTGAACTGTTGAAGAGGTCCAAGTCCTGTCCACTGACGACACTCAACATACACACCACAATATTCACCAGCAGAGAGAGGGAGGAATAATCCAGACTGGATCTTCATCTCTTCCAAAGTAGTGTTGTCCTTGAGAATGTCGTTTAGTTCCAGAAGAAAGTCAGTGCAGGTAGTCTTACTAGGCAGAGGAACTCTCTCCATGGATGAGAAAGTGGTAATATCACCCAGTGTCATCTCCCTGGAAGGTGGCAGTTGAAGATCATCATGAATTGCAAGATGTCTTAATGTTGTGTTGTTTCTCAGTGTACTACATATGTAGAGGATTCCATCATAGCCCAGTCTGGTTCTCTTCAGCTCCAATGTGGTGAGACTGGGACAGTGTAGTAAGATGCTATGGACACCAGCCATGGTCTCACGTGATACATTGGACAACACAATTTTAGTAATAATATTATGAGTTGATCTCAGAACTGATTTCAGTACAGAGTCAACCAGTACATCTGCTGGACTGCGAACATCATTTAATTCGTCGGGGAAGAATTCGATATCAAGCTCTATTTTTGTCAGTTGATGTTTTTCTGGCCACCAAACAAGATCAGATGGTGGAGGATTGCATTCCTCTTCACTATAAAGGCACAATACTTTCAGTTTACTAAATAAGGACTTCAGTGCAGCAAGGGAGTCCCATGTTGTTTGTGACTCAAGAACAATATGTAGTAATTGAAGCTTGACAAGGGATTGTATAAATGTACGAGCAAGAGAAGTGCTTAAGAAAGTTGAATACAAATATACCATTTCAACGTCAGAAAAGAAACTACTTCGCATGATCCAAAAAAGGACACCTTCAACAGTACCAGTGTCAAAAGAAAGAAGGCTAGCTTGTGATGAGGTAGTTTCACGTGAGTGGTCATCAAGACCTTTGGTAAATGTCTCAACAAGAGAAATGCCATCTTCTTTGATGTCAACGTATACATGAAACCAATCTGAGGAATGTGCTACACAGTATGAAAGAGCATAGCAATCATATGGTGTTACATTAGAATCAATGTTAATCATCCTTCTATGTGAGGGAAGCCCATCCTCTATAAAAAGTTCGTCAGTATTGTGCAAAGTCTCAGGCGAAAAATAGTGTGGGAAGAGGATTGGGTTCTGAGCCTCATAGAGAGACCGGAACAAAACTCTGGTGCTATACAGACCAGAAGTGTCATGACTGAGATACATCTCCCAGGGGTTCCTGCCATCCTCTGACTGGCATCTCCAGCCTGTGATACCAGGCAGAAATATGGCTGGCTCCCT